AGCCAAGTCTTAACTTGAGATATCCATGCTAAATAAAACTTGTAGTTCCCTGTGTCAAATCTAAATAAAACTCCTAATGCAGCCTGCGAGGCTCAGGGTTCCCCCAGCATTGGGAAGCCCTGCATGGCCAGAGCACACAAAATCTACTAGCTTGGTCCCCCTGGGCTCTGGTGTGCAAAGGGAATGTGGGGAGTGTCTTTCTCCTTCTCACTTGTGTGCAGCTCCCGACTGATCAGCAGCCCTCCCAAAAAGGTCCCCTACCCCTGTTCTAATGCTTTGTTCTCTTTGCCATCTTTATAGCCCACACTGGACCAAATGCTGAAATATTTGAAATAAATAGCATATTGCCAAATTACTTCAATTCTATATCTTAATTTTATTATATGGATCACAATGCAGTGATTAATGAGGGATATCATTAGATTCATGTTACACAGAGCATGGGACTGAAGTGAAGATAGAAAGAGCTAAAAAAAAAACCAGTTTACACATGTATTTGTAATTCTTCTACCGGGCAAATTATTCTTGTTGTTAATTTGACTTTACATAATGCTAACCATTTAATTCTCTTCTTTTACCCTTCCTCCCCCTCTCACAGAATGGTCACGTTTGTTGCTCAGTGGATCCACAGTGCCTTCAGGAACTGTGAAGCTAACAACCGTGTCTCACAAGCAGTTTCTGGTTACAGAATTTTCCTTCACAAAAAGACCTTTAGACCAAAAATTGTATAAAGCCAAAACTGAAATCACATCAGTTTTATCCATCTAAAGTGCAGAAATGTTCTGAATTGAGTGAGCTTTACTATTACCTGAATTAGAATGAAATCTATGGAACCGGAGAAAAGCTCAGATGTGTAAACCTTTCTTTGAGGTCAGGCTCAACTTCTGGCTATTTCTGTGTCTGACATCATTATGCAGAATATTAAGTTAGTGCAAAGTGACACATTGTAACATTGTGCCTAACAATGTCAAGATCCAGAGACAACTAGAAGTGATCATTGAGCCTACTGAAGCTTTGCAAGTCCAACACACCAATAGGCACAGAGATTTTTACCTAATAATATTTGAATCTGCACAAATTTTGTTTGATTGCTCACTGCAGAAACTAGCAGAAATTTGAGTAAAGGGAGGATGTTTTCAGGAACAAAGAATATAGCAGCTAAGATGTGTTATGTATAGTACATGCTCTGAAAAAAAGATTTAAGTTATTGTAATAAAGTAATGCACAGGCATGGCTACTTAATGTTTTCTGATGGGAAAATTCAACTATATTTCCTTGGTTTACTGCACTTATTATTTCTTGATTGAATTTGTTCAGTATAAGCTCGTTCTTGTGCAAAATTAAAATAAATATTTCTCTTACCTTATAATATTTCTAGTTTTGTGGTTCCTTCACTGTTATGGATCGTATTTTTATATATTATAGATAACTCTTTGTCCTTTCTAAATAAGGTTGCATACAGATGTTTCTATTAGTCACAAAGCAGTGACACTATCATAGAATCATAGAATGGGAGGTCATCAGGTCCAGTCCTCTGCATTCACAGCAGGGCCAAGCACTATCTAGACCAGCGGTCTCCAACCTTTTTTTTTTACACCCAAAATCACTTTTTAAATGTCAGAGGAAGCCAAGATCTCCCCTATCCCTTCCCCAAGACCCCATCCCTTGAGGCCCCGCCCCCTCCTTTTCCCTCCTCTCCATCACTTACTGTCCCCAACCCTTACTCACTCTCAATGGCTTGAGACAGGAGGTGCAGAATGAGGGATTTGGGTGTGGGAAGGGGTGAGAGCTACAAGCTCTGAGAGGGAATTTGGGTGTAGGAGGAGATGGAGAAGGGGGATGCTGGCTCAGGGATGGGGCTCCAGGCTGGAGAGGGTTGGAGTCAGGTGGAGGGTTGGGGTGCTGAACAAGCTGCAGGCTTGTGGATGTGGGGATTATTTGGCCAGACTTCATTTTTAAATAAAATATTATGTCCACCACAAAACATTTCAACATTGTCTTTATTTATGGGAGGGGCGGGGAACCTGTTTTGGGTCAGGGGCCAATGACCAAGAGAAAAATCAGTCTGGACCACACAAGTGAGATGCAAAAAAAGAACCCCTCTGAAACCCTCCAAGCCTCACTGATATGGCCCTAATTGAGACACCTCACTCCAGCCCCATGGGGCGGGGGAGGGTAGGTAGGACTGAGGTTCAAGGCCTCAGGCCAGATTAGCTCTTCTGGGCTTCCAGGGTTAGTGGATTTTGTGGGCCCCTCTATACTCTGAGCTGGGACCCAAAATGAGGGATTCATTTTTGCGGGACAGAGCTGCCAGTGAGTGGGATAGGGATGGGGAGTACAGAATCTGGGTGGGAAGTAGGGTACATGAGCAAGCTGGCGGAAGGTGTCTGGCCAAGAGGGAAGGGGCAGGAGCAGGTGCTGGTGGGTGTCTAGCCAGGAGGCAAGAGCAGGATGCTGGTGGAGGTCTAGCCAGGGAGTAGCAGCAGGGTCCTAGTGGGTGTCTGGCCTGGGGCCAGGGTGCTGGTGGGGGTCTGGCCAGGAGACAGGGTGCTGGTCGGAGTCTTGCCCGGAGGCAGGTGCAGGGTGCTGGTGGTGTCTGGACAGGAGGAGGAGGCAGGTTGCTGGTGGGTGTCTGGCCAGGGGGAAGGGAGCAGGGGGCAAATGGGGGTCTGGCCAGGGGGAGGGGGCAGGGTTCTCGTGGGTGTCTGGCCAGGGGAGAGAGGGCAGGGTGCTGGTGAGGATCTGGCCGAGGGAAGGAGCAGGGTGGTGCGGGGGGTTAGGCCAGGAGAGAGGGGGCAGGGACAGCTCAGCCGGTACCTGAGGGTCTCCAGGGACAAGGCTTTCTGGGGCAGGATCTGTGAGCAGCACTGGATGAAATGCACATACTGCTCCTTTAAAAAATCCTGCTGCTCCAGATCCTGCTCTGCCATCTTAAATACACACCGCACCTGATCCCCCACCGCCTACCCAGAGCACAGGGAAGGAAGGGAAGACAAGAAAGCGTACACGCTGTTATGGGCAGGGGAAGAGTATGCACTTTCTTGTCTTCCCTTCCTTTCCCATGCTGCCTTCCTTCCTTCCTGCAGTGTGTGGGGAGTCCTGAGGGCCAGATCCGGCTTCCCAAGAAGTGCACTTCCTGAGAAGCCGGATCTGGTGCAGAGCCACGGTGCTTCCCCCTCACACCACAGGAAGATGGAGCTAGCTCTATTTTTGTGGGAGGCAGGCGGTTGTAGCGCCAGTGTGGGCTCCTTGTTGGGGTTGGGGAGGAGCAAATGGGGGCTGGGAACACCTCATGATTGACTGGTCATGCCCCCATGATCGACCAGTCAATCGCAATCTACTGGTTGATGACCATGGATCTAGACCATCCCTGACAAGATTTTGTCCAACCTGCTCTTTAAAATTTCCAATGATGGAGATTCCACAACCTCCCTAGGTAGTTTATTCCAGTGCTTAACTATCCTGACAGGTAGGAAGTTTTTCTTAATGTCCAACCTAAACCTCCCTTGCTGAAATTTAAGCCCGTTGCTTCTTGTCCTTTTATCAGAAGTTAAGTAGAATAATGTTTTTCCCTCCTTCTTGTAACAAGCTTGTAGATACCTGAAAGCTGTTATTTCTCCCCGCAGTCTCAATATTTCATATTTGTGTTAACCTTTTACAACGTAATCTTGCAAATAGTTATGCATGTAATAACTTAATTCCTGTCAGCAGTCCCACTGAGTTTTATAGAACCAGATCCATCTTATCCATAGGATGGTTCATGGCAGCCACCCCAAGTCCCATGCTTTGGGGGACCCCATGGCAGCCACCTCAACCTTCCTATGGACAGGACGCACAGGGCCCAGGGGAGCAGAACGTGCTGGGGCCGGGTTGCTCCACTTGCCTTCACCACAGTGAAGTAGAGCACAGTGGACTGGGAGATGGGCAGTGGAGCAGAGCTGGCTGCTGTGTCACTCTGGTGTCAGCCACCACAGTGAGCGTGAGGGGCCCAATCCCAGCTGGTGCTCTGTGCCAGTCCTTCTCCTCCACATCATGCAACTTGGGAGAGGAGGCTTTGGGGAAAGGGTACAATGGAGGTGGGAGAGGGATGGGAAGAGGTGGGGTGAGGGTGGAGTGGAGGTGAGGCTTAGGGGAATGGTGGAGTGTGAATGGAGCAGGGGTGGGAAGAGGTCAGCACACCCCTTTGGGTCAGCCCTATATGAGACTATTCATGTGCATAAAGTTTTGAAGGTTCAAATCCTATGTGTTGATAGGACACTGCCAAACAGATTAGCTGCAATATTTGGCTTTTCTGAAAGCTGTTCTAGCTTGTGGGAAATTCTCTATAGATTCTAAGCCCTATTTTTGTTGCTGTTAAACTCCACAACTTTAATTTAGACATTTTTGTATTTAAAAAAATAGCCTCTGCTAATATGTGATGATTCCTCCCTGTATACTTATTTTTGTTGATACAAGGACAGTCATCCAGCCATCTTAAATTAATCTTAAATGGATACACCCTTACTTTCCTTACTGGTGTGACAATAAAGAAGAAGGCAACATGACCAAAGCTCTGTAGTGCTATTTGAGAGAAAAGACAAAAAAATACAAATAAAATAAAGATCTAAAACATTCAGAAATAAGGGGCCAGTGCAACATTCTGCAGTAGACCATTGAAGCTCTAGAGGTTTTCAATTGAATAAATCTTTTTCCTCTTCAAGACTTAGTCCATAAATAATAGCTACTCGAAGGATTTACTGTTTTATCCACAGTTTCTGACAAGCTGCAATCAATGTTCTTGAAGAAGCTTTGTTAGCTCCTTGAAAAAAGAGGCTGTTTTATGCACTGTTTTCCTGTCTGCTAATAATTGCCAAGGGGTCATGTTTTGCCCCCAGACACACAGGCACATCTTCTGTTGATTTCAATGGCAGTGGTGTGCTTGTATCCCAATACACAGAGCTCAGACTGTTCTTTGTTGTGCAGGGTAAAAAAAGAGTTAACATATTGCTTGAGGGCAAAATCCTCTAGCTTAAATAAAGGCTGCAGCAAGCCCTGAATGGACACTACACAGAAAGGACAAGAGATGCACAGCCCACCTGCATGTGCACTCTACGTTGGATCCAGAGGTAGGGAATATAATGGTCATGCAGATTATGTGGGGGGAGTCTGTCCTATTTGTCCACAGCTACATGAATCCATTTGCTTAATCTTTGTTAGAGACTTAAGTATCAGGCTTGGGGCATTACTCCATCCCTGGAGTCATACTAGCTACCGCAAAGAGGCTAGATGGATTTTCAATGCCTTTTCCATGAACTGGAGAAAGATTTTGTTTCCAGATATGCTTCTAATTTCCAGTGTACTATCTCTGCTTATAGTCTGGCTTGGGTTGTGCTCACAGATCAGACAAAATCACGAGGAAAAATTCTCTTCACTCCCCTACATAAAAATGGCCATACTGGGTCAGATGAAAGGTCCATCTAGCCCAGAATCCAGTCTGCCAACAGTGGCCAATGCCAGATGCCCCAGAGGGAGAGAACAGAACAGGCAATCATCACATGATCCCTCTCCAGTTATCCATTTCCAGCCTCTGACAAACAGAGGCTAGGACACCATTCCTATCCATCCTAGCTAATAGTCATTGATGGACTAACCTCCATCAATTTATCTAGTTCTTTTTTAAACACTGTTAAATTCCTAGTCTTCACAACCTCCTCTGGCAAAGAGTTCCACAGGTTAACTGTGTGCTGCATAAAGAAAAACTCCCTTTTGTTTGTTTTAAACCTGCAACTTAATAATATAATTTGGTGACATCCTCCCCTAATTCTTATATTATGGGATCAAGTAAATAATATTTCCTTATTCACTTTTTCCTCATCAGTCATGATTTGATATCTCCCCTTAGTCTCCTTTTTGTAAGCTGAGAAGTACCAGTCTCTTTAATATCACTTTACGTGGGACCTGTTCCAAAACCCTAAGCATTTTTGTTGCCTTTTTCTGAAGCTTTTCCAATGCCAATATATCCTTTGTGAGATGAAGTGACCACATCTGTATGCAGTATTCAAGATGTGGATGTACCATGGTTTTATATAGAGGCAATAAGATGATTTCTGTCTCATTCTCTATCCCTCTTTTAAAGATTCCTGTTATTCTGTTTGCTTTTTTGACTGCCGCTGCATATTGAGTGGATGTTTTCAGAGAACTATCCACAGTGTCTCCAAGATCTCCCTCTTGACTAGTTACAGCTAAATTAGCCCCCATCATATTGTATGTATAATTGGGATTATTTTTCCCTGTTTCCCTGTCCCTGGTTCTTCTCCTTCCCCCCCCCCCCCCCCCCGCACAGTAATATTTACACTTCATCCCAGATGTTCTTCAGAACTAAGAATGTGAATGATGGAAAACAGATTTTTTCATCACCAACCTATCCCTGGAACAGTGTGTCTTACAGGATTTGTTTCTGTTGTTGTTGCCATCTCCTTGAACAACCCACCGATCACCAACAACTAGATCAAATATAGCCAAGACATACGGTACTAGTTTTTATCAAAATGAACCTTGTTTGAAATCCTTAGACAGCCAATCAATACTATATGTATTTGAGGAGCAGAAGGTATTCAGTCGAACAAAACTGAATGAATAAAAAATGAGAATGGGTTGAGTGAGCGCTTTCTAATCTAGCAAGTTCAGGATTGCTAATTAGTTGGAAGTTCTTGTAAAGGTCAATAAATTCCACAAAGACATCTCAATGGCTCCTTAGCTCAGTTAATCCTGCAATTAGTAGTTCATGTTTCTAATTTTCCCCAAACAGAAAATGTTACTACTACCTAAAACTGATCTCCAGATATTCCAGGCCTAAAGAAGCCATGACAGGTAATATCAAGCATTTACTTTCCTTAAAAAAATAATTCATTTGCAGTACTTCTTTGCTATCTCACATGAACAGCCAGGAAGAAGCTGGTCTGTGGTGTTTTTCTACTGACCTTTCCTTATTGATGCACTGTTTTCAGTACTAGAATTCAATAACTTTCATAGAAGAATTGTTATGTCTTTGCAGAGTAATTTCCCTAAGTTAATAGACCTGCAGATACAAAGGCAGAAATGTCTTCAGTTATATTGGATTAAATTCTATGGTGAAACAAATTGGCAATGAATAGCTTGGATTGTAAACTATTGAAATTAAACTCTTTAACTGGAAAGTTCTGTTATCTATAAATTCACCCCGGGTAAGAGCAGAGAGAAAGCTAGCTTTCTCTTCACTCAGTGTTGGTGTTAAATATTTGTATGTGAAACAAATTGAGCCTCCATGTGAAATGTTTAGCTTCATTCCAAAGCTTAAATTCATAGAAGAAGAACTGTGAGTCCCAAATATTGCTCATATTGCACAATAAACTTATATGAATAGATGTGTAGTACTAAAACTACGCATGAAACTTTGTCTGTAGTGTGTGTGAGAGAGAAAGTGGTTGAGGTACTATCATTTATTGGACCAATTTCTGTTGGTGAGAGAGAAAATCTTTGAAGGGGTGTGAGTGTGTGTGTAAGAGAGAGAGAGTTATTCTAAAAATACATGCTCAAGTACTCAGTTCACAAATTTCAACTTTGTGGAAATAATTGAAACTGCCTAAACAAGAGAAAGAGATTCTTTGTGTTCTTAGGGAAAAGTAGCCTAGAAAAGTAGCCTAGAATAGCACAGAATAGTGCATAATTTATGGTGCAGTATATGTTGCTTTCTTCTCCAAAGTTTCCATCTGTTTCAGTCTTGCCTCAAAATAGAGCTTCAATATTTATTAGAAGAAACAGTGTCAGTAGTAGGGATAATAGATAATAGAAATGTAACATAGTATGCTTGTGTCTCAAGCCTTGGTGGTCAGCTTCCCATTACTCCTAATCACTCTTATTTGGGGGGCACAATGGGGTTATTATGACCAGTGGTGCTGCACAAAGGGCCCGATTCAGTGTCCATTAAAGTGGGAATTTTTCCACTAATTTCAAATGGGCCTTGCTTGCATCAGTCTTGTAGTTAGATTCTGATCTCAGTTAATACATGCAAATCTAAAATAGTCCCTTTAAAAATATGATCAGAATATAAGCCATTCAATCAATACAAAGTAACCTGGAAAAAAGGTTGTCCAGAAAATTGAATTGTATAGGTGGGCATATCTTTACACTACCTAAGGAAATCAGCTATACAATTTTCATTGCATCTGTGGAATTTAATCGCTTATCTCACTCAGTGCCTTTTGAAAATCCCAGATATAGATACTCCTTTACTTCTTAAAGTATAAATGCCAACACACTAAAGCTCAACAAATAGGGCGGTATTCATTAGTATTTTTGTTATTTCCAGAATTTACACCATCTGTAAAATGCTAACTAAGAGCAAGTGATCTAATATAAATGAAAATGTGCACCTTATGATCTACCCACTTTAGTGTATCATTTCAGTAACACAAAACTTTAATTACTACAAACCATACTAGTCTACCAATCACATTATATTCTATCTGTAAAGTAGCCAAATATAATTATTACATTTTTCTTAAAAGACTTTTTTCTCAGTAATACCATTGTACCATTTAAGTTGTACTGTAAATATAATTCCCAGGATTCATCAGAGGAACTGTATGGAATTACTAATATAAACAATTCCGTGGGTCCTTTTTAAACTGCAAAAACAATCATATTTGAACAGCAAGCCAAAGCCAAAACAAACTAATCTGCATCATTGCTTCTAGAATATTATCCTAAATAAAGAAGCAGATCACCCATAAAAATTCTGCATCCAGTGAAATTTATAAAATGAGATCAGCCAAAGCATCCCATTGCTAATAATTCAGGCATACATTCTCCCTTTTAATTATGACACATTTAAGATGAAGGAAAAAATTAGAGGGCAGTGGATTTTTTTTTAACTTTTTGTATGTGCCACTTTAACAAATTTCTCACAGATTCCATAGCCAATAGCATATTTATATAATGCTGCTCTTGGAATGTTACTTTTGACTTTGTTGGCTATGACCATTTGCAATTGCTTTTCCTAGTCTGTTTTTCTGGTAATATGTCAGAATAGTTTGTGATCAGAATATCACAAAGGTGAGGGGCAGCCTTGTTAGAAGCCAGACGTTTCACTAACAGCAAGTACAGATGTATCAGTGACGGATGGGGAAGAGGAGCTCATCTGGACTAAACCCCTGTCCCTCAGGCAAGATCCAGGCACTTGCATAGCAGAGTGGCAGGTGGCAGACACCTTGCCCAAGGAACAAGTTCTCCTTCTGCTACTTTATAGCTGAACTAGAACTTGTGATTTTGCTGTTTTTTTTTCTGTGATAACGCCCTCCCCCATATAGGGTGGGATCAGACAAGAAAAGGACCAAGGGATCCCCATGGTACCACATGGGTCAAGAATGTCTCTCTTTACAGCTTGTAAGGATTAGCTCCCCTCATCCTGCCATGAGAGACATTGCCAGCTCTTTTCACTGTATTAGGGTACTGGGGATAGGAATGGTGACATCCTCTATTGCCATGGGAACCTGCAACACGAGGAGCATAATGGAGGTGAAGCACAATGGACCTCTGCTCTTCTTCAGCTCTGTGTAGCTCAAAAACTTGTCTCACCAACGGAAGTTAGACCAATAAAAGGTATTATTGAACCCACCTTTTATCTAGTATCCTGGGACCAACACTGCTTCAACAGCATTGCATAGATTGGTAGGGGTTAGGGAGCATGGTGCTCTTAAAGGGGCTTTTAAGGTGTGGAGGCATCTTGTACATATTAGGAAATGAAAGTTCTCAGCATACAGGCATGCAATGACTAAGGATTCATGTGCCATTACTTTTATAATCTTTAACTGCTGTTGCACCTGTCTTCCCTTCCTATGTTAACTGCTTTGTGCTGTGCCACGACTAGCATTAGAACGCGAGCTCTTTGGCGCAATGCCCATTTACCTATTGTTTTCAAACCACTTCGTGTATATTTTGTGCTTTCATAATATACATTGAAATTGTTTGTAGGGATAACAAGAGTAACCATCATTACAACAACTAAAGCAAAAAAAAATGGTTTTGGAGGGATAAAAATCTCATGCTTCAGGGAGCAAACCAATCTCTCACTAGTCAAGTTTTGGATGAGGTCTCCATGGACTGGATGGGTGAAAGAGGGTCTCTCACTCTACCTACAGTGTTGGTTCTTGTGTTGGCCTCCTAAGCATCTGCTTTTGGCCACTGTATACAGACAGGAGGCTGGAGTCAGTGGACTGTGAGCCTGATGTACGGCAATTCCTATGTTAACAGCAATAATAATGTAGTCAGGAGCTCTAGGGAATCAACATGCAGACTTTACACTATGGGGTCCCTAAAGGAATGAATTTTATATAGGAATGTATTTTGCAGTTCTATGCTTCCACTGACTAGTTGGTTATATATGAGCTTGATGATCCTATGGCCAACTCAGCTAGAGGGGGGAAATAGCTCATTATCTCAACAAAGTAAACCCTGCTGTCAACTCGCCTGATTCTCCTTACAAAAGCGAAGGGATTGCAATGTCTGGAGTGTACCTACAAATCCTGTGGATCCAAAGAATCTGTGGTGAAAATAGAAGCCAACTCTGCAAATCAGTGGATGTCTCAGGGATGCCCTTTTCTCTGTGTGCTTTAAGCTTTGCGCACCCTTCCTTCCCAGCAGAAAGACTCACTTAAGATCAGTACTGCTGCTGGTGACCATCTCATGGCTGACCCTTCAAAGATGGGGTGGAAGCTCTGGAGAAGAGTCGCCACCGCTCGTAGTGACATTAGCCTCCATGTGGAATTCTGTTTGGACAGTCGTGGAAAATTGGTGGTTCATCCTTCCATAGCTAACTTATGATACCTCTAAGTGTTAACCATCCTGCTCTAGTCCAAGATGTACACTTTTCAGTCTCTGCATATCTTGAGAGGGTTCTGGATGCTTTCCATAACAGTGTTTTTACTTTTTAGGCCTTCAAACTTTCTTAAACACACAGTTCTCTGATAGAGCAGCTTGAGGTGTTGTCTATGAATGTCTTAGTCAATGATAACTGTTTCTATAACAGCAAATACCTCTCACCATAAAGTGTTCCTTTTAAGGCTTAATGCTCACAAATCTTGGAAAATTTGGAGTCACATCTGAATCTGGCTTCAAACTTTCTAGTTGAGTCTCCTTTCTTTTACTGAAACTTTACTTCCAATCTTGTGTTTCATCCTGGATTGAAATCTATAGCAAATCATTGTTCCAGGTCTTCCAGCAATAGCTTAATATCTGCAGTTTATACAAAATTTGTAAGCTGAGCTCTTTCCCCATATCTAAGTCCTTCAATCACATCACAGCAAGATTGAATGCACTTCACTGATTTCAAGTAAAGCTATGAGTACCCGCAGACTCTCGTACACCCCATTTAAGAGACCTTTTTATTTCTCATAACCAGGTTTCCCTCATTCATTTGGCTTTTAAATGTTTTTTTGTATGCTTCATGAATTTGGATTGTCTTTTATGGGTAATGTGCACTTGTGCATAAAGCTTCCCAGCTATTGCATTTCATTTTTTTTAATCTAGTAGAATTTGGGATTCACATAGTAAATCTATCCTGGTGTAGTGCCAATCAGCAGAGTAACACCTCTTATACCTAGGCTGAATTTGAAAGCTGAAATCATGGTTTGTTTGGGGTTTTTGTTTGTTTGTTTTTTGGAGATTTGGCATTTAAAACATTTTTATACTAGCCTTCTGTGGTACCCTAGGGCCTGTACATTAACGCACTTTAGAAATGTAAATATGGATTGATTGAACAGTCAGTCAGTAGGGGGTAGCGTGAGGCCATTTCTTCCCATCTGTAGTTTAGTGTTTTGTGAAACTAAGAGACA